ACTGGAAAGATTGATCGACATCTACGGTGAGTCTTCGCACCGTTCGACCCGGCTGGTTCTTTTGCGGCTGGTTCTCATTCTGGGTCGGCCCAGCCGTTCACGTGCACCCCTGAAACATTCCAAAACGACCCAACGCATCCAGCAGCCTGGGCGACCTTTCACCCCGTCCGGCCTTTCTTGCCTTTGCGACCCAAGATCTCTCTGCCCAGCATTGGCAGGGTGAAACCTGCGTCAAGACAAACATGGGTGGTTGCTGAACTACTCCAGAACCACCTCTCTTTGAACACCACCTGACCATCGATTTGTTGACCGTCAGTTGGAGTTCAGTCGAAGGAGGAGAAGTCGTGGACCAAAAGAGCGACCAAAACGGCCAACTCATTATTTTTGGTGCATAACGAGGTGGCAGGTGCCCAGTTTGGTAGATAATGTGTGGGCCAACTTTTGCACTACAAAGCGATATCACCCAAGAATTGGCTCCACCATATGAACGGGTGTCTTCCAAAAAACCATCCAACACCAGGCAAGCAGATCTGCGCACCAAGAAACAAGAACAACACCCCGAAAGGCTCCCAGAAAGGCAAGAACTTTGCTTGGCCTCCAAGAGATCCTACTGTGAGACTCCCCCGTTGGCCGCTTCGCCGCTCGTTTTGGTGTTACCCAAACGTTCCACCTGTCCGTGGCATCGAGTCAGGTGGTCGATCGAGCTTGGAAACCACTAGCTGGACCCCCGCAAAAACCTTAAAGAGTAAGCTGGAACAGAACCGTAAGACAGCTGATTGAGCTGGAACAGTAAGCTGTGGAGCCACAGCTGGGTGAGCTGGAACAGTAAGCTAGCTCTGGCTCTATCTTCCCAGCTTTTGCACCCTGTAAACCCCCGTCATACAGTCCGTCCACCCAGTGTGGAACCTGCAGGCAAAGTCTCCAGCCAAGAGCTCGAGATCGAAGGCGAAGCCTGGCAGGTTTCACTCTCCCAGAGTACAGGGACGGGGAATTTGATATGTAGTTATACATCTTAGGGAATTTAACATGTTGGGAGGGTAGTTCTACAACATGTTGGGATATTTTTTTGGGGCGTATCACTTGATGTTCTTCCTCACTTTTTGCATCCCACCTTGTTTAGAATAACATACACCCTAGGGCTCCAAGTACCTCCTCAGAAGGTATTAACCCACCCCAAACACCTTCTTAGAAAGTACTTGGAGCCCTAGGGACATCTAATTATGTCATATAATCTAACAATACACCTGCCTTGCGTCGTAACGACGGTGCCTTGCGTCTGATGTGTTGTAAACCGTCTGGGGCAGCGAGCATGTTCGCGTGTTCCCAACCCGGTCCAAATCCGATTTTTGAGGTTCACGTAATCATTCTCCATCAGTCAACCTGTGTGCCCTTTGGGTGTTCTGGATTCTTTGCAGTTATTTTTTGCAAAGCCACAAGCGTTTGCCTTTGGGATATGGGTCCAACCTCCAAACCGAACACCTACATCCATGCGACAAAGCTCCAGAATAGGGTGCATGAGTTCTTACACGTCATCATTCTTATCCCCCGGATGCTGCAGGCAGCCGAGGTTGATACCGACCACCACCGGTCCACCGGTCCACCGGACGTGGCAACGCGAAGGGTCCGGAGGAAGGCGCCTGGAGCGAATCGTAGAGCAGTTCCCATTTGGTGTCATCTGGCTGACCTCAAGTGACATCAACTCTCGTTCTCCAGGTTTTGGAGTATCAAAACCATTCAAACCGCTTGGATTTTTAGAGGGTGCATATCCATCCATCGCAACCCACAGGTGTTCACCGTTTGAAACGCCAAATGCGCAGGCTCCGTTCATTTGTCGCTCCGTGGTCCTGTGTGATCTGTGGACCGTTTGGGCTGAAACTGTACACTCGCGAAAACGACCGTTTGGACCCGGGTCGAATGGCACCCTGGAAGAATGTTTCCTCTACAATTACAAACCAGTGGTGTTTAGGGTCCATGGTGGTCTTCCATGGAATATTCCACTTGGACCCCAGTTAGGGCCCTGAGGCCTTACGCAAGTCCCCTCAATCCCCGAAGCCCTCAAAGGAACTCGAGGCCCCCGAAAGGCCTGATATGGCCTAATGATGCCTAATGACTCTATATCCGGTGAGTGCTGCACAAGACTCTTAACATAGACAGGACAGCTTTACAGCTGGAATGCTGCAATTCTGATCATTGATGGCTAGCAAAGGGGCTTCTCTGTCAATGACCCAGCAACAAGCTACCCTAACATCTCATGAAACACTCAAACAATAAAGTTAAGAACCAAGCTTGCAACCCTCCTGCCCGTCCAAAGCAGCCATGGCTATAGGTTGGAGGCCATCGCTTGGAGGCCATCGCTAGTAGGTTGGAGGCCTACTAGCGATGATCCATGAACACAAAGGTCTGGCACATGCAACATGGGTCTCCCCCAGTGTCTCCCCCCTTGACTACCTCGTCTATCCTCGTCTCCTCCTTTCTTGCTGTAGTAGGGGCATTTGGAGGGACCTGCAACAACCCTAGAAGATGCCCCTAAGAAAGAGGGGGAAACCTTGTAAGGAACCCTAGAAGATACCCCTAAGAAGATGCCCAAAATGCAAAGGTTTGTACAACCTTTCTAAGAACCCCTGTTTTCTGGAGATCCTTGGGCGCGTCTTCGGTACCCTTGTCGAGCGACCGTTTTCGCCAGTGAAGGAGTCGACCGTCAGCCGAAGGGCTTGATCCAGCCTTGGCACGTCGTTGACGTCGTTGCAGACGTTTTGGGCCTCCCCCGAAGATGGGCTCAAATCCCGGTGTTTCATATCAAGGGCTGAACCTGTACATGGTCGGGATTTGAGCCAGTCTTGAAGAGGTTATAGATAGTGCAACACCTATAGCACATTCCTATGGAGGTTATCCTCTGCAACATCCTTGCAAGTGACCAAGGAATTCAGCTGGGAAAATACTGCATACGAGTTCTGGAACGGAGAACAATGACGTCACAAATGTTGAACATCGGGACACAGGTACAGGATGTACAGGTGGATGTCTAGAAATGCTCACAACCTTTGCAGACAGTGTGCCATACCCTTTTACGTTATTCAGAATTGCAACTGCTGTTGATATTTGTTGATGGGCACTGCATTGCATTGCCAAGTCTAATTTTAGAACCCTGTCCACCGACTACCCTTATGCAGCTACTAGTAACTTGCTAGTAACAAGTGCATCGCTAGTTGTGGCCTCTCGGCCGCCTCTCTCCTTGCCGGTCCAGGGTGCATGTTGGGGATCAGGTGGGCCAAATAGGCGCTACACAGGTCCAAGCATGGATTGGCGTTGCACTCGATGAGCCACACACGGAATTCCGCGTCCACCTGAGAGTGGAGTTGTGGATTGGGCGGCCTGGAGAAGCTTGGAACTGTACTCCAGGTGTCCAGCCCTTGATGCCTTGATGGGTCGAACCCTTGATGACTCGATGCTACTCCATGGTACTCCTCGATGGTGCCAGCGGGGAGTATGAAAGCTCGGCAGTATGAAGGCTAGGGGTATCCAGATGCTCCACGAGAAACAGGGAATCGTTCGAAGCATTTCAGAGCTGCAGCTACAGGGAGTTCCCCAACACCTTTGTTAGACTTGTAGCATGCATTCCCATAATAAATTAAGCAGATTACTCTTGGGATCTCTTGGGCATCCGTACAAGGTTTGGGGCGATTTGATATCGGTGGATATCAGTGGATACTGCCAAAACTCATCAGGATTGATCGGATTGATCGGGGACATTTTCTAGCCTCCCCACCAAATTGACAAACATATGAAGAGTCCCTTGTTAATCGACAACTATTAACGGGCTTTTCAACGGGAAGCCCCATGGTCGATGCGTGTGCCGGCTTTTCTCTTAAAAAAACCAAAGGGTGTTTTTCTTAATCTGAACGAACCCCCCATTTCTGGGAATCTCCACCGATCCTTGCTGCGGCCAGGTTATTACAATGATTGTCAGGAGAAGTCATGTCTCACCAGCTGAAGAATGAAGTCATCCACTACCGACTGAGCTCCCATGTCATTTTTGGACATGTCCTCCGCGGGTTTTGGAATCGGATTTCTTTCATCCACAGTGGCGATAGAGGACGTGACGTGCCCATCTTCGTCCATCTTCCAAACCCTCTCGGCAGTACTTGAGGTGCCGTACTCATGCACTCGCTCGTAGAGCAAACAGTCAAGACCACTTCTTTGCTCTGTGCATCTCTGCACCATAGGTAGGTTTAGGGTCGATGGCAAGAAACACAGGGCATCATAGAGATCATAGAGCATCGCTACAGAACATACCGGAGATGCATGTAGCGGTGCTCACAGCACATTGTGATGCAAAAAAACACATCCGCTATAAAGGGTATCGTTGCCATACAATGTGCTTCTTTTTCTTTTCCGGAGATGCACTGCGGAAATTCACACACCCTTTGGAGACTTCCCCCCAAAAACACCGGACTCCCGTTACCTTGTGGGTTCCAAATGAGTAGCGAACCTTGTGACGCTCGGTGTCGCGTCCGACCGCTCCGTTTGCCGCCGCGGTGCCATGAAATCGAAGCCGAAGACCTGCGGCGCTGTGACCAACGCGGGCTGTCCGGTCGCTTGGTTCAGAGTGACGAAAGAGTTGGCCATCAACTGGAAATGACCCCAACTGGAAGGAATGATGAAAGAAGAAATAAAGAAATGATTCATGAGAGAAGTCAAAGCATTAGTGCACATGAGAATCTTCTTGAGTGGTGGAAGGACATGTCTGTAAGAAGCGGCAAGCCAGGCAGTAGATGGAACATGCACCAACCCCATACAGGAGGTGTGAAGCTCAGATCCCCATCCCCAAAAAGGACGATCTGGGTGTGCGCCATCCATTCTTAACCTACTGTGATGCTTCCTCCTCCCGACTCCCGCTGCATCCCGCTGCCCTCCCTCTTGCTCTGCATCTTTTTCCGGCTGCGCACGAGACAACTGATCATCCAGCCTCCACCGTCACCCAGCCACCCTCACCTCCACTTCTATGGCTTTGGATATCGGTAGCGCTTGGGGATTTCCGGCTGATGTCCCGGGATGGGATAGACTTGCTTGGGATCCGCATCGTGGTACCACACCTTGGTCACGTCAGGTAGCCGCATCCGACGCCAGGCCAAGGAGACACACCCGCGCCACACACGTACACGACGCACGGTACACGACGTATAGTACAGTCAGAAAGAGCAAGAGAGATGTGCGTCATGTGGATCAAACATGGTTCCACAAAAAATAACACGCAGAAAACACATGACTAAACACGACTCGATCACGCATGCTATAGAGCTCTGCAGGACTTTTCCGCGGAACAAGAAAACACCGGGGCGCTTCAAGGTCTCTCACCTGTGCCTTTGACCTAGAATCCACCATTGACTCTGAGAAGGATCGATCTCATTCTATCGTGGATGTAGCAGGTAGTTCAGTGATGTTTAATGGCCAATTAGTGATGTCTTGGATGGCGTTCTGGACCTCCAATGTCTCCCAAGCCACACATCCATGGCAGGTGGTGTCCGGGAAGGTCTCGGCGAAGGTCCGGATCAGCTGCCGGTCCTTGGCCGGTACAGGGTCGTTGTAGTGCTCCTTGTGGTTGTGTTCGAAGGCGGCCCAAGACTTTTCCGACTTCCTGAAGGAGGGACTGGGTGGGGGGTGAGGACGGTGTGGTCCGGGCATATGGGTACCGGGTCTTTTCGGCGCCAAAGCTATAAGTAGCGAACTTTCCTAGTAGTGGTGAGGCCAAGTCAAGTCTGAAAAAAGGATCTCGTGCATGTGTGCGGGCTGCTGTGCCCGTGGGCAGGGCTGCGGGAGATGCTGGGTAAGGTAAGTGAGCTCCTTAGGTCAGCTCATTGAAAAATGGCTGCTGGGTTTCGATTGTATGCAGCTGGATCGGATACAACCCCCGAAACCCAGCATCAGTCCCGAACATTGGAGACTGAAAGATCCTAATCCCCAAACCAACACCTGAAGAAATTCGGTGCTTTCGTCCGAGCAAAGCACGGAGCTTCAAGCTCTGTCCTTTCGGGTTCATTGGGCTTCTTCGGGTCGAGCCAATGTTGGGAGACTTCTTCCCAAGGATACACATGCCATCCGCGCGCATAGAGGGCCACCAACATGGCGAAGTCACCTGATGGAAGGACGACCTACAACCTCCGTTCCGAAAGGGATTCAGTCGCACAACATGCCGGAGACTTGCACGGCTCTTTCTTTCGATGATGCGTATGTAACTTGTGATCAGCGATCTGCAAATCAACGCCTGCTTGGAATGCTTGGAAAATCCAACTGTGAGACTAGATGAGACTAGACCAGCAACTCCAAACAAGAACAACTATGGACGAAACGCAGAAATCCTTTGGGACTTTCAAACACGTTTTTGGTTCTCACTGCTTTTGCTCGCGCTTCAAGGCAAAGGTTTTATAAGCAACCCTGCCCGGTGCCCGCAACGCCGGGCCGCCAGGCACAGGCTGCCCAGCACAGGTTGCCCAGAACGCGCTTGCTGGGTCTGGTGCAGTGCCCAACCGTCTTGGCCTATGACCGCATCATCCCCAACCGTAGACGAACACCCGAGCCCAGGCATGCCTGAATGGATCTGTTCTCGTTCTTGAACCATCAGCTATTTGAGCAGGGGAGCACCCTGTTTGCCAGTTGGGTTTGTGCCAACTCCTAGATCCCCGGACATCCCCCGTTTTCTCCAGGGTTTTGACCAACACCCAGTTGGACAACTATATAACTATATATCTTTTGCTTTGAGGTCAGTCACTGCTCATGGTCTTGTCGCCCTCCTTCTTCTCGATCGCCTCCTAAGTTGAAAGGCAGGCATCTGACCGCGGAATGTTCTGCTACGCTGCTTCTTTGGCCGGGTAGTGACAAGTCGCCGATGAAGAAGTTGTCAAATTCCAGCTGGCTGGCATTTTAGCTAATTATCTTAGACCACTTCCTTAGGCTTTTAAACATAATCATTAACATTGCCATGCGTGATCTTTGCAGAACTGCTCAACGCCAGCTCAGTCAGTCTTTGGCTGGCCTTTTTCTCGTGGGAAAACTTACGTGGGCAGTCTATCGAGCAAAGGTGCACGGTACCACTTGCACGGATGACTCGACAACTAGGAGCACCAGGGACGACTAGGTGACGTTTCACGTGAATGCACCAAGGATGATCACTCCCTTCCGTGGATGACCTTGGTGGAGCATCTTGGCACCTGACTCTCTCTGAAATTGGGAATGATGCTGACTCGTGATCTTCTCTTTCCACGATGGAATGCTGTTGTGACCACATCACAAAACCAACGAAAATGAACCGTCCCATTAAAGCCTTGCAAACCGGCTTCTTCCTACGGCCAACCACAATTTATGACATCACAACCTGTTTCTCAAAACCAAACACACACACACACAAACACCACCTCATCACTGTGCAAACATCAACTCGTGATCCAACACCTCATAGCCAGCCCGTCTGCCAGCCGCTGATCGCCCCGTCGATCGCTCGACGCCGGGGCTCGAAATCGATCCGCTTCACGTACTTGGGGTCAAACGCATCCATGACCTAAGGATCTCAGCGAACTCAGCAAACAACTCAGCAAACAAACCGGAAATCCGCAAAGTGAACGATCGAGACTCCAGGGGATTCCGGGCAAGACATATGGCAATATCCCTTTACTTAGAAAGGACTCCTTTTGAAGTAAGGGATGCCCAAAAGAAAACAACTCACATCAAGCAAAGCCAGGTTGCTGCTTCGGCCTTGTAGTAGGACCCCCCACTGAGGCCAAAATGGATCCAGGAGACATTGAAGTTGGGATTCCGCTCGCGGCCCAACATTTCCAGGTAGTGGATGGTCTCCTTGCATTGGATGTTTTTGAACACCAACATTGGTTGGAACATAACATCGGTGTCCTGCAGGATTTCGCTTCACATCAACAGTTTTGAGGTGAAACAGCCCAAAGTTCAAAACCATGTATTCCAGCAGCACCTATCTGTAGAGGAGAACTTGTTAAGAACATCCTGCTCTCCATTTCTATGATTCCTGCACACCAATATTGTATTTGGTCTCAAGGAATTCATTGTCCTTGTAATTTTTTTGCCAGCGGTGTGCGAATGGCTCGTGAGCGGTTTCTTGCCACCTTCCTCAACTGCCTGAATAATAGACCTCTCACCCTTCCTGTACGTGGCTATGCTCATCATGCTTCGCCCATGTGAGGGTTGAAGTCATAAACTGTCGTCCACATTCGTCCACTGGTTTGAAACTACTCCGCTCTTCTGACTCGTGGCGCCTTACCCATGTGAGGGTTGAAGTCATCATAGATGCCCCCAGCGTCGTGCTTCGGCTCGATGCTGTGGTGCTTCCGAATCAAGACGTCGGGCTCCAAGTAGATGACCTCGTTGTCGGTGCAGCAGCGGGCACCGCCCGTGACGCTGCCGGAGGGGAAGCATCGAAAGAAAGAGATCGACCGGCAACCCGGTCGGTGTGGTTTGGACTCGGAAGAAACCCATGTCGAGTGGTGTTTTCCCATGTCACCTTCGTCGAGGATCCCAACACATGGCCACCAAAGGACCCCCAAAACATGAAGAGGATCGCCTGGTGAATCTTCACCTCGATAGGTTTTGATGAATCACCTGTTTCTCAGCTGAGCCACATATTCGGTGCCCAAAGCTTGTGTGGCCTTTCGGAAGCGTGCAAACCAGCTATGAGGGTTCCAGCGGCTGTTCTCGCCCTTGACACGCTCGAAGATGCAGTTGTACTCCTTCTCTTGGCACAAGGGACCGAAATCCACGTTGCCTCCGTCCTGGAGCCTTGCAGGCTTTGGAGACGAACGAAAAATAGGGATGGTGGACAATGAGTCAATGAGATGTGCCATGATATATATAATAGTTATATATTAAATTATATACACATATAAAAGGTGTTATAATGTATTATATATGTCTGAAGTCTCCTCTCCCTCCCTCCCTCCCTCCCTCCCTCTCTCTCTCTCAACATCTTTCAATCTCTCTCCCCAAGCAGTGGGTTAAAAGTTGGTCTACTTCCCGATGATTCTTACTAGGCCTAAGATACTGCGTGCCTGCGAATGTCTTATATCTAAGTCGCCGTGGGGACTTTCTGATTGGACGATAGAATGCTCGTCACACACTAGTCCAACTCGTGGAGATAGCCTGGCTTTGGCATGCCGTGGAACTGGACAGAAAGAGGACTGCCCACTACTTTAGGACCCCTACAGCATATGCCATATGACAGCTTGACAAAAGCAACATCTTTCATGATTTTTGGAAGGTGCGGTGAGACTGCGTCCTACCTTGGTCCATAGTCGTCCTCAAAAAGGTTAAATATGGAACCATCCCACACTCTGACATTGGTTTTCAGTGACTCAGTTACCACGATGGGAAGGATGGCGGTGGAACAGCATGGCGAAAAGTCCGAGAAA